ACTACTCCGTGCAAAAAACTCGGATGCAAGCTTTCTGTATGTCTTTCTGTATGTTCTACCCCAAATGTAAGTGTCAGGTATTTGTTTTAATTTGTTTTACAATATAATCTGGTTGGAAAGTGATAACCAAGAGGTAACATATGGTGGGGAAATTTATTGTTATAATGATAACCTTGAAAACGTAAAACTTTTATTTAACTTTTATTTAACTACAATAACCATGAAATCATCTCCCTGACAGCTAACATTCAATTATTAGTTAAATTGATGGTAGTCAGTATAATAAGGTCTCATACTAGATTTAAAAGGACTGGTTTTATAATTATTGTAGTAATGATTCATAGCTCCTCTTATTCAAAAGTTATTTTTCACAGGCTGAATTTTGCACAACTTTCTATGTACTATTCATCCCATTTTATTAGTGTTCAAAACAGAATTGGAATCAAAAGACTTGCAATTGGGGCTTTTTTAATAGATAGTTTGAATGTTTGAGTTTTTAAAACGTCTCTAAGAAGACTTCAGTTTTCAGCCAAGCAGCAACAGCAAGAAAACTCAGTTGTACCATGAAACAAGTATTAATGCAGTAAGACTTTGAGCTAAAGACTCATGTAGGCCTACAGTGATACTATTTAAATAACTTCAGAGTTTCTTAGCATTCTGAAGAATTTAGAGTCAGTTCCCTTGTTGATGTTAAATAGGCCTAATTCATATTTGAGTCCTTTTTCTCTGTCATTTGCAAGCATTCAGCACTTTGCTACTCAGATAAATAGTTACTCTTACCAATCTACTCTGTCCTTGGGCCATCCTCTTCCTCCCAGTCCACAGTAGCATCCATACCGTAGGTAGGCAAAAGGAGATCGTCCTGTAGTACATCTAATGGCTCCGGCTAATTCCAGAATTCCTCTTTTGTTCCTTAAACGGGCTTCCCCAAGAGTGCCTCTATAAACTATGGAAGAAAAACTTTGCGTTGAATCTAATGTGCAGACACAGTCATTTATGTTATTAGTATTTATTTTAACTTTGATAATATATATCAGTACTTTGAAATAATGCTCCATTCTCTTTTTGAAACTCTGGGGGACAGTGATTGACTGTCCTTGACCCAATCCCTTTTCCCCTACTTGGTAGTGAGCAGAATACTGAACAGCATTCAGAAAAGGTGTTGTGTTTTCCTCCCATAAAGGCAGCATATAATGACAGACTTCAGTCATTTCTGTTCTTAAAACTGGCTAGAGCTAGCATGTTCTGTGGTCTAGATCCACAAGTCTGCTAGGACTAGATGTACTAAGTGTTGACTTTCTCCTTATCCTAAAATGCAATTTTGCCTATGTTATTACTTTATATAATATAAAATTCACACTTGTACAAGTATATCCTTTTTCATGGGGTACTTTTTTTTTTTTTTTTCCACTAAAGTATCCTAATTTCTAGGTTGAGATGCCAAGTAACTGATTTTACTGGGGGAGAGAGGAATTTCTGTTGTTATAATAAGTTGAAGGGATGAAGGGTGTGTGTATAAATTTGGGAGGGAATTCTTTTTGTTGATGTATGTGAAGGTTGTGAAGACTGTATGATTAATGTATATTTTAATGATAATTCCCCTTCAGGGAGCAGAGAAGCATGTGGGTGTTTGGAATCATTTATAGGGAAGTTAGAAAAAATGTTGGTTGTTTAAGGGATTCTCACCATCATTTCTACAGAACAAGACTATTGAAGGACTTTATTGTAGCCATCAGTTCAATACTAAAGCTGTCAGGTCCTGGGCAGATTAACGTTGGGACACCATGTGACTCTTTTTAGGGCTTCAGGTCATCCTTCAGTTTTAGCTAACACATCAAAGACCCTGGATGGTAAATAGGCAGCATTTCCTTGCACTGAAGGCTCCAACCTATTTTCAGAAATTTTTAAGTCTTAAGTTATTTTTACACCAGCATTGAAAACATTACCTTTGCTATCAGTACAGGCTCAATAAATTACTGGAAAAAAATGTTGCAGTAAGACTGCAGCATTACAAACTAAAACAGCTCATAATCTTAAGTGGTTAGTTTTGCTAGTCCTGTAGCTAGCCAGTAACAACTGAAGGAAGGACGTTAGTGGCTAACGGCAAAGCCAGTTTTGCTGTACATGATGTTAGTAACTGACGAAACCCCAGAAGCAAGTGAAGAATGTACAGAGTGTATCTTGCTTCTTGGCTGCTGGGGAAGGAAGGTGTAGGAGGGCAACAAGACAGAAAGAGAAAGGTAAGAACTTCCAAATCACATTTCTGGTTACATCACAGTTGTCTGTTAACTTCGGAGAAATCACAATCCCATATTTAAATCCAGGTAAAATGGAAGTTGTCTACTCCATGGCGAGCTCAAGTATAATTTTTTTGAAGTATGCCACATAAATTAAAAGGAAATGAAATCTTTATCCTTGGAATTTTTCGATGTTACAGCATCTGGACATCCAGGTATAAAGCAAGGCTGTATTGTACCAGATGCTCAAAACGAGGCTGAAGGAAAGGTTTGTTCCAACAGCTTTATAACCCAAGTATAATAAAAGCAATGAAGGATGCTCCTAGAACTCACATAATGACAGAAACAGGAGGAGTATTAGCACGGTAATGATAGCGTTAGTCTATTAGCAGCACAATAAATGTTTACAAAATATTTTATCAGAACTTCCATGGAATAAAGCCAAAGAAAATGTTAAAATTTCAGGTGTTCCTGCTCTCAAAAGAAACCTTTACAGACAGGTATTTGGAGGTTAGGGGGGAAACAAAACTAACAAGAGATCAGCAAACTCAAGTTTAAATGGATGTGATATACCTGATTTGGAAGTAAAGGTTGAAGGAAAAACAATGCTATACCAATTTTAAGATTACTTTACACATTAAAAATAGCAGATGGGGACACAAACACAATCTATTCAGTTCTATGTGATTCTAATGAATAAACCACAGAGATTAAAAGCTACCAGGTGACTTTTTGAAGAGTGAAATTAAGTTAACAGTGAAGGCAGCCTGAGAGAAAGTAACACTAAGTAATCACATTATTTTGGTGTCCTGCCTGATTTCAAATCAGTAATTTTGTTGCCCAAATTGGAGTCCTGCCACATTTGGAGAGTTTAAAATTCATTGTACCTTCATGGTTTGTCACCTGTATGAACTCCTAAGCATTTTGATTGTGCTATACATGGTTATAGAATTATAAAATACTTTGGGTTGGAAGGGACAATGTAATAATTAATATGTCTTTGTGAGATGTTTTCTGCCTCAGAAATGGTCTTTCTCACCTCATCTTGTTGCACAGACTACTGATACGCCATCTCTATGAACTGTGGTCGCGTATAAACTATGAACAGATAAATTTGCCTGGTACTGTGGACCAAGCATTGAGAAACAGGTAAATTGCATTTCCCTTCCTCCTCACTGCCTACAGAATGGGTGACTTCGATGCTTGACTCAGCTGTCGGGCTGCAGCCAGGCTCTCTCTGTAACGATTGCTGTAGGCTGGCACAAGCAGTGAAACAGTCTTTCATTGTTTTCCTTAATGTTCTTGCTGAGGTTTGGGCTGTGCAAAGGATGAAGTCTTGGAGGATGATCAAAATGCAGAAGGAATAATAGGGGCACTCTGAAGTGAAGAAGCAGAATTGGGGCAGTGAGCCTTGTGGAACATAAAGTTGGCCCCATTATGCAAGCACGTTACCTTGTGGTCTTTAATCAGGTGACTTTTTTTTTTTTCCCCAGACCCCTGATTCATTCTGTACAGAGGATATGCTGTAAGAACAGGTCAAGGCTCTTGTCCTTAAGGTCTTTATATTTGTGAGATTTAGTTTGCTGAATTTGCAAGTGGTTTAAGAATGTGTGGAAAAGTGCAAGACAAAAGCGAATCTCTTAGTTAAAGCAGCTGAATGCTATTCTGGAAAACTGGATTTTATCCTTACAGCTGTTAGAGAGGTTCAGCATGAGGTTAGTTTTAACCCTTTAAAACAATGCCTCTCAATGGTCCCAGCCTGCTGAATGTCCCAGGGCTAGAGAAACAAATTACGAGTGTACTGCTGAGAGCTAGGCTTTGAGCAGTTGATGTTTCCTGTCATTTAAAGTAGCAGAAAATAAGATCGGGTTCTGTCATTTCACCATGGAAACCTAAAATTAGTAGATGCTTTTATTTATGTGTTAACTTAGCTACCTATCTGTAAAAGAGGGATGATGATGGTATAGTTTCAAAAAAGCGTGGAGTAAGTACATTCAGGCACTATGCTGATGAATGCCTCAGAAAATCTATGAGGTAATGGAATAAATTATTACAACCGGTCTCTAATACTGTTTAAGAAACAGGATATTAATTTAATAAGTAGGGGACAAAAAAAAAATTAAATACCTGCTAAGTGAGCAGTCTGTTATAGCCAGGGACGAGGCAGGGGTCCTTTAACTACATTCCCGTGTTGTAACTTACTCCCGAGGAATGAGTCGGTCTCTATGAATAATCCCGCTGTAGCTGTGCAGACAATCCTAGCACCAGCAATTCCTTACTTCAGGACTGCTTCGTGCCTCGGGTGTCTTATGCCCTGAGCTGGGTATGGCAAAACATCCTGCCTCTGTGGAAAGGTTATTACACCTGCAGTTGGGTTTTACGTACCAAACTTTTACACATTTTGCCTATTACTGATGAACTTCTGTTGGGGGGGGGGGAAAGGCAGCAAAGCTCCCCCCAAGATGCAAAGCCCCCTTCCAGCCTCCCCCCGGCCCAGCAGCTCCCCTTGTCGGGGGCAGGTCTCAGGCCGGGGTCGCAGCCCCTGTAGCCCTGCCCCCGAGCCCCGTCCGCAGCCCCAGGGCACTCACCAGCCAGCAGCAACAGCAGCAGCGGGGCCGGGCGGGGCGCCATGGGCAGCGGGGGCGAGCAGCGCGGCCTCGCTCTGCGGCCGTCGTGCGGGACTGAGCCGGGGCCGCCCTCGCCGGCCCTAAGAGGCTGCCCCCGGGCCGGACACTGCGCTCCCGAGAAGGGAGGAGCAGCTCGGCTCTGCTGCGGGGTGGTGCCCAGCGCCGGGTTCGTGCGCTGAACCGGGAGGCCGGGGAGGCAAAGCTGCCCCTGCTGCTGCAGCCACCCGTGGAGCTGCCTGTGTGCTCCGCAGCTCGATCGAAGGGACTTTTTAACCTTCCCTCTGGCAAAGTAGGCTTATACTGAGAGCTCTCTCTCTCTCTCTTTTTTTTTTTTTTTTTTTCCACTTCCAGATCATTTACTTCTTGTATATGCTTTCCCTTCCAACTCTTGGATTATTTTGCAAAATCTACAGCTGGGTGTCACATTCCGATCATGGTGTCATTGCTTCTCAGCACGCAGACAACACCGCTTGCTTTTACATCACTTTTCTTTGCTGCTACATTCCAGGTATTTCATTAGAGTTTTTATTGTTGTACTAAAACCAGTTCATTTCTTCATGCAGCTGGGACCCCTGAAATCCTGTGTATTGATTTTTTTCCTCTCTCTCTTTTGCGTGTAGTATTATTACATTTCAGTATGCCACACCCATTGGATCCCACTGAGACTGACTGGATAAAGAAGTAGAGAGGAGAAAAAGAGACAGTTGGGGTTCTGTCGGTTGGTTGATTTTTTTTTTTTTTGTGTGTGTGTGTTTTTTTGCTTGTTTTCAACAGGATTTACCAAGAACTTGTTCACACCATTTTACTATTGGAAAGCAGCTTGTAGTTTTGTAGTAAAGGCTATTTTCACCAAAGAAATAAAATGTTTTTGGATGTGTATTGAAGTATGATTCTACTTTTGCATCAAAATACCCTGTTTTCTGCTTCATATCACTCTTCTTTAATCACAAGGGAAGTGGAAAATCATATGTGGTCTGATTGCAAAAGACAAAAAGCACGCACAGACAGATCAGGTTTGTTTTTTGTTATGTTCTCATTAATCCACTCTATGAACTGTTTGTGTTGGCACAGAAGTTAGGGTAGTGCGGGATAAATGTGGAAACACATCAGCTGAAGGTAGGATATTGACATACCTTTGCACACCTGACACAACTTTGTGTAACTGCCTGCAGAACACCAGAAGCACTTCATTAGCCAGGCAAGGCTGTACGTTGTGCCCAAATAAACAGACGCACTCATGGCGTGAAGTTTTCACAAACCAGAAAGCATGGTTTCCAGCTCGAGAGGCATTATGCCGAGGCATAGGCTTCGATAGTTCTGTATCCTGGTAGAGGCTCACTCTGTGATGCCAAGCAGCTTCTGATACAGGGTGCTACTGTGCACTGCCAGCAGTTTCTTCTATCCCTACCTCGTGGCCCTTCTGAGCACAGCAGAGCTACTGCTGTACCTCCTGGGAAGCTGGATTTGCATGCTGGAAAAATGGGATCTCTGGCAATCATAACTGTTGTCAATGATCCTGAAAAAGTTTTGCTAATATATGAGCCATAGCAGATAATCCATCTGTTGGAATAGATTCTATTTATTTATTTTTATTTGAAGATTTTGTTGCTACTGCCATCAACTGGGTCAAAGCAATTTTCTTATTACTCATGGAGTCACGCTGCTAATTACTGTTACACTATTTTTATATTGTCACTTATACATTATTTGTTTACTGACTCTTCCGGTCAATAAGTCACACCTATTAGAGTGTCTTAATAGTGTTGAACTGCAGTATAGTGAAACTTCCAGTTGAACAGTATCCCATCCAACATACCACTGGATATGACATTAAAAACAATATCCAGGGGAGCAACATGAATTAAATATTGTGTTTGCTCTTCAGGAGACTGCCTGATGCAATGTGCTGGTGCACCTGATGTTGGCTTAGTACAGCTGATGTGGATTTTTCGTCTAAACTGGCTAATTCTTCTCATATACATGTTATGCAACTGTCACAAAATTTCATGCTATTAACATTTAAGTGAGGTGATATTTGCAGAAGTTATACGTAGAGTAATAGAAAGTATTACAGCAGTGTATTATTTATCTATATGTACCTACTGAATAGTTTATATGTAAATAGTTTGAACGGGAACAGAACCATCCTCTTGGTGTCCTGCGGCCCTGGGAAATGTTCTACTAAAATGAGCGGGATTGACACAGAAATGGGCTGTCAAAGTTCCAGTAGCTTCTGCAGCATTTATCCAGGCGATCATATAATCAGTTACTTTTAAGAAATATATTTCTCTTTCTGTAGAGACCCCATAAGAGGTTACAGCTGATTTGATGTATTTCTTAGGTCGTGAGGTGGTGATAGTGCTTGCGTGTGAGTACTTTTTCCCATGCTCTATATTTAAATATGCTTCCTAAAATTTCATCTGTGATTTTAAAATGCATTTTCACTGAAGGACAGAAAGTAATCCTACAACCCTTGAAAAATCACATGAGATTGAAATGCTCAGGCTACAGCTGCTTCCATTAGAAAAGAGAAAAAGATGTGAGGTGACAAACTATATGAAGTAAGGAATGCAAGTCAGGATTTCTGTTTCACAAGAACTGCAGTAAAAGGAAAATATCTAGTGAAATCAGGACAAAAAATCTGAAAAATAAATACTTCAAGGGGAGTTAGATTGTCCAAATAATTGCCATTGTATACAGCTAAGAAAATATACTAGTAACAGAATGGAAGTTATTACAGATTATGACGATTGTTTACTTAGTTAATGGGACTCAAAATTCCCTTTACATTTTAAAATAATAGTTTATAGGACAGTGGAAACGTCATATTCACTCTTTCTAGTGTCCCTTTCTTCTTTCTGAAGCACTTGGTAAGTGGTAGAAAGTGTATGCAAGAAATGGCATTTTCTTTCTTACTGGTGAATTTGTACATTGTGAATTGGAGCCGTGCAAGGGTAGGGAGAAGCATTTTCTTTTCAAATATCCTTTCTCAACTAAGGTTGCATGTGCTCAATGGTAGCTTTAATTAAGTTGTTTTTAAATCTGAGGAATGGATTAATATAATTGAGGCAGATAGTTGCACTGAAGAACATTCTCTCAGAACAAAAATATTATGGGCAGTCTTGTTAAGTTGTTTGTAAAGGCCTGTTTTCTGGGTCTATGATTCAGTTTCCTTATGTGTAGAATGAGGATATTAGTCTGTATACACAGCAAGATGGTAACTTTTTGGACTAATTTATTCTAAAATGTTGATGCAAAATGTTGGAATGGTCTAAAACAGGAATAAGTGCAAGGTATCCAGTTCCCCTGTGAGCAGGTGAAGGTGGTGATTTTGAGAAAAACATGATAGTATGTTTGCCATTGACCAAACAGCTGCAAAGCTGTATTTTTTAAGTAACAGAAAAAGTTGCTTTCGTTAACACTTTCTATTTAGTAAGAGCAATTATTTTTACTGAGAAATTATAAACAAGCAAAAAAAATGACCTCCTACCTTGGACGAGGGTTGGTTTATGTACTCAGAACTTAGCTATTATGAAGATCTCTAGTAATGATGATGATTGTAGGAGTACTAGGGTGTGTAGGTATCTAAGGCAAGTCCTACAAAATCGGAATTCTACTGTGTTAAGCATGTTGCAATGTACATGACATATTCCTACCCCACTGAATTAATGAGCTAAGCAAGCAACTAATAAAGAATGGTGGAAGAAGTTATTTCTCCTATTGTTATAGATGGGAATGGAAGCAGGGTGATTTGGTGAAACTCTTGTGTGAGGGTTGTGGTAGAGCTGGGGAACTGCACCTTTGTGTCTTATTTATCATCATCTTCATAAAAAGAACAGTCTTATTCCAGAATTTGTTTGGAAACAGTCAGTGGCTTTGTTCCCACATTTAGAGGTTTGGCTGGCTTCCTTCTCTTTCATGTCTTTCCGTCCTCTGTAGCTCCTCTTCAGAACCAACGCTTCCTGTTTACCAATGTTTTCTTCATCTCATGCTGCTGGGGATGTTGTTCCATAAACGGTAAGAGTTATAAAACATAACCTGGAGAGAGAGAGGTTTGAAATGATTTGAAAATATTCTCCTGAACCAGTTTATAATATTTAATAACATACTTCACGGTACAATCTCAAAACTATTTCTAGCATACAGAACAAAATTCAACTTTGATTTAAGTGAGCAATTGGCTAACGGGCAGGGCCCAAAGGGTTATGGTGAATGGGGCTGTGTCAGGCTGGCGGGCGGTCACCAGTGGGGTCCCTCAAGGCTCCATTTTAGGGCCGGTACTTTTCAATATTTTTATAAACAATCTGGATGTAGGAATAGAAGGTATTTTGAGCAAGTTTGCTGATGACACCAAACTTGGAGGAGTTGTGGACTCGAATGAGGGTGGAAAGGCCTTGCAGAGGGATCTGGATAGGTTGGAGAGCTGGGCGATCGCCAACCGCATGAAGTTCAATAAGAGCAAGTGCCGGGTCCTGCACCTGGGACGGGGAAACCCTGGCTGCACGTACAGACTGGGCGATGAGACGCTGGAGAGCAGCCTAGAAGAGAGGGATCTGGGGGTTGTGGTAGACAACAAGTTGAATATGAGCCGGCAGTGTGCCCTGGCAGCCAGGAGGGCCAACCGTGTCCTGGGGTGCACCAAGCACGGCATCGCTAGTAGGTCAAGGGAGGTGATTGTCCTGCTCTACTCTGCGCTGGTGCGGCCTCACCTCGAGTACTGTGTGCAGTTCTGGGCACCACAGTATAAAAAGGACATGAAACTGTTGGAGAGTGTCCAGAGGAGGGCTACGAAGATGGTGAAAGGCCTGGAGGGGAAGACGTACGAGGAACGGCTGAGGGCACTGGGCCTGTTCAGCCTGGAGAAGAGGAGGCTGAGGGGAGACCTCATCGCAGTCTACAACTTCCTCGTAAGGGGGTGTCGAGAGGCAGGAGACCTTTTCTCCATTAACACCAGTGACAGGACCCGCGGGAACGGGGTTAAGCTGAGACAGGGGAAATTTAGGCTTGATATCAGGAGGGGGTTCTTCACAGAGAGAGTGGTTGCACACTGGAACAAGCTCCCCAGGGAAGTGGTCACTGCACCGAGCCTGTCTGAATTTAAGAAGAGATTGGACTGTGCACTTAGTCACATGGTCTGAACTTTTGGGTAGACCTGTGCGGTGTCAAGAGTTGGACTTGATGATCCTTAAGGGTCCCTTCCAACTCGGGATATTCTATGATTCTATGATTCTATGGTTAAGACTATACCAGCCTATGGTATGACTTGCACTGTTTTTGTAATAGTAAGACTATGAGAAGAATAATATGTTCCGAGAGAATTTTGGGAACCATGTTTGTAGCATCCTCAACATGCCCTTTGGCAACAATGTTGTCATGTCCCTCCCATAGAAATGTTGTGCTAGTGCGCAGCTGCCCATAACAGACTGTTGCTGGAAAGGTTATTATTACATAAATGTTCTTTGTTCTGTTCCAGTTTCTACCCTCTCCTTCTCTACTGTAATGGCTACTAGCACAAAGTCCATCCTGTGCATGCAATCACCCAGGTAGATAACAAACTACAAGTATGTTATTGGAGCGCTATATATATAGTGATGTGGATCTGTCTGTTTTATGATATAGAAATATCATCTGTCTTTGACCAAAACCATGAACTGGCAGATTGCAGGGAAGGAATCTGTAAATAATTTCTGACTTTCTTAGCTCTTAAGTTTCAACAGTCATCTGTGACTTTCTGAAGATTTCTTATACACTGTAAGCAAAGTTCTACACTGTAGCATGTGTACCCAAGGGACCCAGGGCCTGATTCCCATGGAACCTACTTTTGATTTTTATACCTGGGTAAGAACAGAGATAGCAATGCAACTCTTCCATTTTTC